GGTGACTAGGTTTGTGTATTGGTACATGAATACTTGATGGCTAGAGGACCTAAGGGCTTGAAAAGTTTTGATGATTGAGAAAAAGTCTTGCAAATCGGAAGGAGTGCCTTCTACAAATTTCGGGTTGCAATCACTTGTACAAATTTGTGGATCCGAATCAAAAAATTTTGATGGTCCCTAATCAATAATGGCACATGGTGATATCATTGAAGTCAATTTTAGCCAACTTCCTTCTAAGACAAAGAGTTTTTCTTTGGACTATTCAAAATCTGACTTTGATTTTTTGCTCGGGTTCTGCACCAAGGATAAATTTTATGATATTTTTTGCAAAATGACTTATGGCCGCTTAACGCACTTAGCCCCAAGTAGTAAACTGACGCTAATTGTTTGAGCCCACTGGGTCAGGTGTGACGTTTAGGAGCCAGACTAACATGGAACGAATAATTAGGTGTGAATAGTCCCCATAGGGTTTCCTGTGCGACATCTGGGAAAATCATGCTTGAGCTCATGGTTTTTTTGTAGATTCGTTACCAGGGGCGTACCGGGAGAGACCCATGCTCGCCTCCCCGAGCATGGGTCTCGAAAATTCTGAAAATTACTTACATGTGCGATGAAAATGTGCAGGAAACTTGTTTATACTTGTAAAGAACTGGTAAAATTTCTAAAAATTTTCAATTTTCAAATTATCCCTATAAAAGAATTTTGGGGCTCATGAGCCCACTAAATGTTACATATATATCATAAAAAGCATCCGCTTGCATTCTTTGGCAAGGAGGGAGGGCGATAGAAAGGAGTAATTTCATTTTGCAAAAATAGACAAAATTGTTTTTCTTTATAACTCAAATATAAACGTTTGTGTAGATTTGAATTTTGAAGATGATAATTTCATTGCTCAGTTTTAATTTACCGCTTACTTTTACTCGGTTCAACTAAGCTATTCCAGTTATTTATAGTGGTCCTCAGTTTCTTCCCCAGCCCACCAGCGAGGTTTTTTGTAACTTTAGAAAATTTATGTATGAATCTGGGATATGATGAAAAAGGTGACTGTAAACGAAACTGGTTTAATGATCGCATATAACTTAGGGCCTCTACGAGTAGCCGTGTCCCCGAAGATTCTTTTCGCGAATTGTCCATAGGAAAAAAAAGATTTTCAAGTCCAGCTGAAACTTACTAGTAGATTTCTAACGAACAAAAATAGTTTTTCTCTAGCCAAATTTAATCCCTATCTAATTTATCTAGCAGAATAAAGGCTATATGTAAGTAAAAACGCTTCTAGAATAGAAACCTTTTCTATTCACGTTTTCTGAAACCGTAATCAATAAGTACTACGGTAATCGCTAAGTGCACAA